CCTCAAGGACAGCACCTGACGTATACTGATCATGTCACTTTTCTTCTTTTGTAGCTGCTTCTCTGAGTCCATCCGACACAATCTGCTGGGCCCTCTCAAGCAGCAATGATTGTGTCTTCAATCTGTCATTGACCTGTTCAGCAGCTTGGAAACCATTACTTCTTCTTCCTTGCTAAGCCCTTCCAACTTGACTCCAGTGGAAAGTTTCTGAAGACTACCATCCGCCCCTACAACTCTGATGTCCTCACCCGAGTCATCCACTGGGTCCCCTGGTACATCTCCCTCCGTTCCCCACTCCTCAGCAACAACATCGCAAATGGAAACCACCAGCTGGTCCTCGGCAAGGTTCACACATACCTCCTTCTTTCGCTGTACCCTCAAGGCTTCTGCTACCTGAGTGTGGAATGGAAGGCAAATCTCATTTTCTGACCTATTTGCTAGGAGGACTTCCACAAACTCGCCATCAAACTGCCGGCATCCTTCAATGGTGTTCATTGCCAAGTCTTGCTGACCGGGAACATCTCGAACCAGAACTTCTCCCATCAACTGAGGGTGCAATCTTGTCTCCACTTGACAAACGACCCTTCGCACGCAGTATGGTCGAAGAACCTCATCACAACCAGTCTTCACACGGATTGGTGCGATAGCAACATCTATTTTCCCTTCTGTCTTTCCTGATGTTTCCGACCGGTTTGCAGCCTTCAAAACTTGGTCTACCGATGTAGATGAGTTCAGTTTCCGGAGGACATTGCATCCAAGCAACACAGGATACTCAGAGGCACGAGTATCACTGGCCTTATCTGTTGCTATCAGGAAGCTCCCTGAGAGTAACTGCCCCTGGATGCTGACGGGAACCTCTGTGTAACCTTCAATTGGTATATCTATGCCTCCAACACCAATCACGTTCAGAAACACTCCAGACGTTGGCTTCAACTCTCCTAAACGTTGCTTTAACTGACGGTGATACACAACGGATGGTATTATGGATGTTTACGCCCCGGTGTCCAAGATGCACCCTAGCTCGACGCCTCCAATCTGGATCAGGCCTCTCGGACTTGGTTCCACCAACCGGTGCGTCATATCTTCATTTTGTGAGCCCTTATTATGGTGTCCAAAATGCGTCTGTCCCATCCTCGCCTATGGGTTGTCTGACCATTTTGCCGGTGTAACTGATGATCGAGCTGGTGTTGTCCTTGCACGACAGTCCCTCTTGATATGCTCGGGCATCTTACATCTAAAACAACTGGCGGGGTTGCTGCACTCCTTCCTCCTCCTCATTCCTTGTGTGCCCCTTCTTCCCACAGTTAAAACAGGTTGGCTCACGCCTAAAGGGTTGTCTTCCTCCACCCCGTTCGGTTCTTAGGTCTTTTAGTCTCTACTAACATCGAGATCTGCTTTGAAAGGTTTGAGAGATCCTCTTTCAGTTAAATTAACATCGCTGGAAGGAGATGACACCTCTGCTACTGTGGGAGTAGCAGCCCACGCTTCATGGACTTTGACATTCTTGCTCGACTCCTGATTCCTGAAGAAGTCCAACACTTCTTCCCGCATCTCCAGAAAAGACCTCTCCTTCGATGCCATCTCTATTCGACGGAGATCTCGCTGCACCCAAGTCTCTCGTACCCCTCGCACGAACTTCTGCTTCAGCGAGCTGTCCCGTAATAACTCAGGCGCTTTCCACTCACTATCGGTCGACGCAGCCTTCTCCATGCGGGTGTACAGGCGCATCAACCCTCTGCTGTGATCAGCCAAAGACTCGTCTTCCCTCTGCATTCTCGTGTGAAAGATGGCACTCAATGTCTGAACAGATTCTGCTGGGCCAAACAGTGATGTTAAGACTTTCACCAGCTCACAGACTGCTCTCGACAAAGCACCTCCTCTTTTACCTCTCCTGCAAGATGATCTACAACTGCCTGTGCCTTGGCCTTCCCTTCCAGTTTGTATTGGTTGGCATACGTTGCGAAGTCATCTAGCCATTCATTAAGAGATGGTTCCCCTGGGGCTTTAGGCGGCCCCCTAAACTTTTGCAACTTAATCTTAGGGGATTGTCTGTTGCAGAGTTAGCCCCTCCATGAACCCTGTCAAGGCCTGTAGCATCTCTCGCATTGGGATATCGGCCATCGTGTCAATGGCTGAATACCACGGTGCAGCCTCAGTACAGGAAATTCAAATCAGGAATGCACACAATGCGAAACACTTACAATACAAAACTATTACAGCGCCGAAGTAACTCCTTTGTTGCTATTCACTGACTAATACAAATCAGGAATGCACGCAATGCAAAACACTTACAATACAAAACTATTACAGCGCCGAAGTAACTCCTTCGTTGCTATTCACTGACTAATACAAATCAGGAATGCACGCAATGCAAAACACTTACAATACAAAATTATTACAAAACCTACATAACTCCTTCGTTGCTACTCACACTAATACAACTCAGGAATGCACACAATGTTGAATGCAAAACACTTGCAATACAAAAATATTACAATGCATCAGTAATTCCTTGGTTGCTACTCACAGACTAATACAACTCGGGAATGCACACAATGTTGAATGCAAAACACTTGCAATACAAAAATATTACAATGCATCAGTAATTCCTTTAATGTTGAATGCAAAACACTTGCAATACAAAAATATTACAATGCATCAGTAATTCCTTGGTTGCTACTCACAGACTAATTATACAACTCAGGAATGCACAAAATGTTGAATGCAAAACACTTGCAATACAAAAATATTACAATGCATCACATCAGTAATTCCCTCCTTGTATTACCCGAGGTACATATATGTATACACAAAGTGTACCAGACTTGTACTACAGAAGTGTACCCTAACCCTAACCCTAAACATACTTCATATAAAAATATAAACATAATACTAAACAACCTAAAACTACCTCGGGTACATATATATGTAGTACCTGATACGACAACGACCCTTCGTGCGACAGTAGATTCCACAGCACTGACTAATACAGGTCACGGCTAACGCTCCATTAGGAGTGTTCCAAACTTTAATATCATTAATGATTAATGATTGATCATCCTAACCCTAACCCTAACCTAAATGACATTAAACCACAAACGAATATATGACCATGGCCATATATATATATATGTTATTATGACCATTAATGACATTAAAGTTAGGAACACTCCTAATTAAGTATCACCCCAGGTCACGGTGAAAAAACAAGTCCATTCCAGTCCTATGTCCCACGCGCCGATACTCCCTCGGTGCTACAGCCGACGCCAATGTCCCTGGATGGTAAGTGTGTCTCCTTGACTGGATCTCTCCTCTGCATCTGGACCCCGGTTTTTTTTCACTCCTTTAACTGCGGTAGCAGCGGTACTCCTCTGACATCACTCCTGCGTTGATCGGGAATCCTGTCGACTGCGCCAATTTGTCGTAGTGTAGATCCCACCCTGGTTGAGTAAGTATCCACGACAAGCAAAAAATAGAGGTATGTGGTGTCAAAAAGGTAGGGTGGTTAGCCCGTTTATTCTTCAGATCAACAAATATCAAAATATAGTAGCGAAAAAACTCTTTTCTATACACTCAAACTCCCGTGTCTCCAACCACGCACCCCCTCAAAACACTCCCCTCCCCCAGTGACACCTAGTGTGACTGTCCATATAAGTAAATAATATGTCACATTGTGACAGGTACTCAAAAGTACCTCAAATACCATCTCCTGCGGTCTACATTTTCAAAATTTTCTGCGGGAGGACCCCCATTCCCCCGGCCTGTTTTTCAGTTCTGCCTGCACATCGTTGAAAGGCTAGATACGCCCCTGTCATATATCTATATACATTAGTATAGCAGGGGACTAATCGCAGGGCAGTGCTGCTACATCGAAAAGGCGAGCTCGTGACGCGTACCGCATTGCTGCCACACTCACTCACGCAGGCACTTACGTATGTCACACATTTTTGTACCGTTCCTTCATGCCTAATATAATCACAATATGCCATGTAGCACGAAATTTCATTCTCACCTCTAAAGAACTATATTCCCGCATGCTCAGTATCTCAGATTTACAATATTATGTTGAAATTATACCTTTAAAAATGGAGTCGAATCGTTTAAAATGGAGAGAAAGGAAATGCCCCTCATAGTAGTTTGTCATAATTAAATGAATCTCTCTCCCTCCCTCATTCCGGATGACAGTATTTTGCAATATCTATTAAACGTATATCAGATCAGGACCGTAGCGAGCGGGGCACAAGTGGGAAGTTTCCCGCCAAAGAAATGTAAACACTGTTACATGTTCAATGGCGAAATCCCCATGATCACCGCACCCGGCAGATAGGTGCGATATGATATGACTACTAGGCACTTAAAAAAAAAACATAACCTAACCCTAACAAAAAAAAAATTTAATTAAGTGCCTAGTAGTCATATCATATCGCACCTTTCTGCCAACACCATAATCACCTGCCAAGACACAATGCGCACGTGGCTCCCCCTGGCGAAACGGGTTAGCGGGCAGCATAGATATCATCAGGAGTAGATAATAGGGAATTCCCTATTATCTACTCCTGATATCATATAACAACTAGATTATTAGATCATTAACAATCATATCATATCATATATTAATGATATATTATAATCATGTTATATCATATAACTAGATTATTATATCATTAACAATTATAGATATCATATAACAACACGTGCTAGTTGTTATGTGATATCTATGGCGGGCGGGCAGGCTATAAATTTGCGCCAATAAGCCAAATCGGAAAGTACTGGCGTTGAGCAAACATTGGCTTGGTACATATTTTTACAGTTTTATTTTCAAAGCTAATGTTCAGTTAAAGTGTAGCGAGTTATTTACTTACATTTTTACAGTGGATTGTCACAAAAATGTGCGTGGGAACCATAGAAATAATATAGATTTATAACCTACCTATGGTTATCTATACTATTTCTATGGTGGGAACGCATCTTTAATAAAATAAATAAATTACATACAGACATTCTCGAGTCAACGTGAACGTGTTTTTATTTGCTTTTCATAACATGTCACAAAAAAGAAAGTACTTTTCAAATATTTGCCTGTTAGCAGTAAAATAGAATTTTGCTACGAGTACTGAATAACTTATTATAAAGGAGTATTATAGGCACTTCCACAAGGTTTTGTTGTTTAGTAAGTATAACAGCTATTAATGCTAGATGGAACTCGAAAAACAAGTTTCTACAACCATCACAGCCGCTTGGAAATCTGTGCAACGTGATATTTCAAACGATAAGTGTGATGGTATGGAATGTAGCAGATGTGTTTACATGTTCCATATTACAATCATGTTCTCTACAATCGACACGATAAAAATGACGTATTTTAAAATCAAATGCTTAACTCACTAAGCCCGACAGCTGCATTTCTGTTACCGAAAAGGAAAAAGCTAATATTCTTCTTCCTCGCCTTCTCCGTCGAGCGAGTCGACTCCGACCTCCTCGTAGTCCTTCTCCAGCGCCGCCAGATCCTCTCTCGCCTCGGAGAACTCTCCCTCCTCCATGCCCTCGCCGACGTACCAGTGCACGAAGGCACGCTTCGCGTACATCAGGTCGAACTTGTGGTCGAGCCGCGCCCAGGCTTCAGCGATCGCCGTTGTGTTGCTCAGCATGCAGACGGCACGCTGAACCTTCGCGAGATCGCCTCCCGGAACAACGGTGGGCGGCTGGTAGTTGATGCCGACCTTGAAGCCAGTCGGACACCAGTCGACGAACTGGATCGAGCGCTTCGTCTTGATCGCCGCAATGGCGGCGTTGACATCCTTCGGCACGACGTCGCCGCGGTAGAGCAGGCAACAGGCCATGTACTTGCCGTGGCGCGGGTCGCACTTCACCATCTGGTTGGCCGGCTCAAAGCAGGAGTTGGTGATCTCGGACACCGTCAGCTGCTCATGGTAGGCCTTTTCGGCAGAGATGACAGGCGCGTAAGTCGCCAGCGGGAAGTGGATGCGAGGATAGGGTACCAAGTTGGTCTGGAACTCTGTAAGGTCGACATTGAGAGCACCATCGAATCGAAGAGATGCGGTGATGGAGGAAACGATCTGCGCAATCAGGCGGTTCAAGTTGGTATAAGTGGGGCGTTCAATGTCCATGTTACGACGGCAAATGTCGTAGATGGCCTCATTGTCTACCATGAAGGCACAGTCAGAGTGCTCCAAGGTGGTATGAGTGGTGAGGACAGAGTTGTACGGTTCAACCACAGCCGTGGAAATCTGTAGAAAACAAAGCAAACCATGGCATTGTATGAACAAGTTAATAGGATGGAAAGTGCTCTCAGAACCATTAGTGTAAGAATACATGAACCAATTGTGTTCTGTTTCTGTCTAGAGGTGTCTATTATTCGACTTCATCTGATATCCGGTGCTTTAGAAGCTGTATAACTTCATTAATGACTAATTTATTAATGAACAATACTCACTAATGATAATTTAATGATTATTTAAAGCATCAACGTATGAAATCAATACCGAATGCTGAATGATGAAACATTGTATGTTTGTAAATACAATATACCTGTGGTGCTGGATAGATAGCAAACTCCAGCTTGGACTTCTTGCCGTAGTCAACAGATAGACGCTCCATTAGCAGAGAAGCGAAGCCAGAACCAGTTCCTCCACCGAAGCTGTGGAAGATGAGAAAGCCCTGAAGCCCCGTGCACTGGTCGGCCAGCTTGCGGATGCGGTCCAGCACGATGTCAATGATCTCCTTGCCGATGGTGTAGTGACCACGTGCATAGTTGTTGGCAGCATCTTCCTTGCCTGTGATGAGCTGCTCTGGGTGGAACAGTTGTCTGTATGTGCCAGTGCGCACCTCATCTGCAAGCACAACATTTTACATGTAAACATCTATGCTAACCAGATAAAACTGTAAGAATTAAATGACGAACAGATAAAATACTAGTTTTGGAGCAGCAGGGAAAAATGCAAGTTCGTATATTTCTTGGAGACAGAGTTAGTAAAAAAAAAACATGGTAGGGGGGACTAGAAGGCTGATGAAAGCAGATGGCAGAGAGCGAAGGCTGTAGTAGAGGAGGAGGAAGCTGAGAGAAGGAATGAGAGGGCTAGGGATTGAAGTAGAAATATGACGAGAAGACAGTGAGAACACAGGGATTAGGGGTGTGAGATGAGGAGAGACCAAGGGTTGAAAAGAAGAAGCACGAGGAGAGACAGAACAGAGAAAGAAAGCATGGAAGGGGCAGGGAGAAAAGGTGAGAGGAGGAAAAACTTATTAGCACAGGACATAGTGACAGGAATACATATATACTATGATCTATGATACCATCAAAGCAGACTACAATAACTTTCACAATTAGAATCATGCTGTATCCTTATTGTCATCGAGTATCAATTGTCTCCTATTCACTATACTAGACTAAGAGCATTCAAGATTGTGCAAGAATATGAATACATGTGCCTAATACAATAATCTCCTATCTGTAACACATGGACACTAGCAATAGCTGCTTCCTATGTATGAAAGGCAAATCACAAGCCTCGATAACTGTGACAATGCGTAGCGAGAAGGTAACTTGTGGATAGGGGAAATACAATATATACACATGTTACAATGGTTAAATTATTATCTTCTGAGCTAGGTGAGACACCATGTATGATAATGACTAGGAATAACCTAACTGAACCTAACAGATTCACACTGACGCTCTGCTATCAGTTGTATATCAAAGCCACAAGAGTAAAACCGCATTAGCACTAGATACAATAATGTAACCCAACAAGAGTAGGGTGTTGGGTTATATAAAAATGTAGTCGGGAAATCACAACTACAAAGGTGAATTCTCTAGATTTATAGTAACGCTGTAAGATTTGCTGATAGGATCTATGTCCCCCAGGGTACTGCCAGAACGTACCCTGGGTATGATACTGGACCGTACCTTGGTACTAAATACTACTATCTAATATGCCGGACCGTACCTCGCCTACTCCACTAACGGGTCTAGGGAGTCGCCTACACCTACGCCTACTCCCTAACCCTAACACTAACCCTAACCATATCAGCTAGATAGTTACCAGGGTACGTTCCGGTATACCGGACCGTACCCAGGGTACATTCCGGCAGTACCCTAGGGGACATATAGACCCTATCAGCGTAAGATGTCAAGAATGACCACAATAAGCCAGAAATAACGCACAATAATATTTAATCAATGTAATCAATATTTCAATCGCAAGGTTCTCTCTCCAAACCAATTCAAAGCATTGTCGCTTCTAACACAAATCACTATAGCCGCACAACTATACTCGACCGATTAGATCATGCTATCTACTGTCTGCTCGCTAAACTACACTATTTCTCTCCCTCTTGACATCGACACACGCTTTTGCTTTTATATGAGCGCCCGAAACTAGTCGCCTTTGCTTGTTTCGCATGACGCAGTTTTCCCACTTCAATACGGTAATCAAAACGAGCAAGCAACTTCCTCGCTCTTCGTTCTTTGGCTGAAATTCTGCGTAGTTTGTCTCAAGCCCATGGCCTCTTGCACCAGGTTATTCATGACCAGAGATGAGTCATCTCTGCCAACGTGGCAGAGACACGTAGCACACGCTAGTATAGTTTTCCGTTGAATGTATAGAGCCGTGCTCTCCAGCCAGCTTCCCCATCTCATGTTACTCCGGCAGTCCGGCTATCATCCCATTCGCCACAATACTATAGCAAGTCAAGCATTGCTACTTTCATATGCAGCTACATTCATGTAAACTGCATGCTTACAATATTGTATCAAGAGCCCATTGTTTACAGGTAAGTTTTACATGCAATGTTCGTGGATCAACAACGACAACAGAAAATGGCGCAGTAGGTGTCTACCCAAAGTCCCTTGCGCTTTGTTCATTCATCCATATTAGTGCTGTGCGCCGGATCGGATTTACAATTTTTAAAGAATCGAATTCGGATTCGGATTCAAAATTGTCGTCGGATTCGGATTCGGAGTCGGATTTTCAACAATGCTGTCGGATTCGGATTGCGTGCGTGTGCACGTACACGTTCGTGCATTCGTGCGTGCGTGTGGTCGTACACGTACGTGCATGCATGCGTGCGTATGTGTGTGCGTGCGTGCGTGGGTGCGTATGTATGTACCCGTGAATGCACGCACGCACGCACACACACACGCATGCACGTAAGTGTACGATCACACGCACGCACACACGCACGCACGCACGCACACGCACGCCTGCACTCACAGACATCGCGCATGGCGTATATATATATAGCCACACTAAGATGTAATAGTTATGTTTTGCCAATTTATCCGGTTTATTGTTATTAACTATAGTTTTTTCGGATTTGATAAGAAAACGTCTTACGTCTCATACGTCTTACGTCTTACGTTTTCTTACGTCTACAATCCCCCTTCACCCCATCCCTTGATCTCAACAACCCAAAGTTTGATGTTGAAACTAATTATAACACGAATTTTACACGATGCTGTCACACTATTTGCAATTTCTATGTTCCGGATTCGGGTCGGATTTCGGATCGGATTTAGCGATACACATCGGATTCGGATTCAGAAATTGCCATCGGATTCGGATTCGGATCGGATTCAAAATAGCCATCGGATTCGGATTTTCAAAAATGCTGTCGGATCGGATTTTTGGTTCATGTCGGATCCGACGCACAGCACTAATCCATATGATTCATATCATTTATCAATAAACGACGGAAACATACAAGCTTTGTCGAAGCAACATTAGCAGTCACTAAACGCGGGAGAGGTGTGTTACTGGGTTATATGGCGCTAGGATTACCTAGAAGTACTCGATTTTTATCGCTTTATATCTCGGCATATAGGAACATCGTAGAGACAAGCGGTTGATCTTAAATATTGGCTAGCTATGACTCCTGCATAATATTCCGGTAGAGAAGTATCAAAATAATTAAGGTAGGTAAACGTTATTAATTTTGCTGAAACGACACCGTGGTTTTCCTATTTCAGCGTTGTACGCTCTGGGGTTAATGGGCTCTTGATTGTATCTACATTAGCACCAGCCACACTGGTCAGTGGAGGCACATTATACAAGCAGCAAGCCCGCCCGCAGAGTTGAACCTGCATGCAAGCTGCAACCAACTGCAAGCTGTGTTTACAGACGACCCCAAATCCTTTCCATTACTCAGCTCATAGAGTTTGCAAGACTAACGTCAATAGGCAATCACACGGTCTTTCAGAAACACGAACGTTTGACGGTATCACATAATTTAACCGCAGATAAATTATTCTCACCGCGGTCAAATTATGTGGAGCAATGCCTCTGATTGGGTAAAACGGGCCATTATTTAACCGCGGTAGAAAATAATTATTTCCGAGTACGATGGCCAACCATAGACGTTAATCATAGTCATAAGCCTATACGCTATTATGACTGTACGCACTGCTGAGTGCTGAAGTAGTAAAGCACAACGCACACACCCGAGCGAAACACGAAATTTTGTTTTCCAGCGTTTCGCGTTCTGCTGAGCGAGCAAGCGCACACAGCTGAGCAAAACATACAGAAACACTGCGCACAGCGCCGCTGTCACATGACATCCAAAATAGCCATCCAATGAACATCGAACCTTAAACTCGAGTTAGCGATTTATGTAGCGCTTACACGAAACACCCGATGGCGATTTATTACCGATTTATTATGCATGCGTGCGTGTGTATGTAAACGTGCGTGCGTGTGTGCGTGTGTGCGTGCGTGTGCACGTGCTGCATGCGTTAGTGCGTACATGTGCGTGCATGTGTGCGTGCGTGCATGTGCCAGTACACCGTGCGTGCTATGAGTGTGTGCGTGCGTGTGCAAGTACACGTGCGTGCATGCGTGAGTGCGTTACACTGTGCGTGCATGTGTGCGTGCGCGTGTGCGTCGGCGTGTGCACCGTGCACGTACACGTACACGTGGCGTGCGTGCATGCGTCCGTGCGTGCGTGATGCATGTGCAGGTACACGTGCGTGCGTGGGCGTGCGGTGTGCGTGCGTGCGTCGCGTGGCATGCTACACGTGCGTACAATGAGTTAGTGATGCGTATGCGTGTGCAAGTACACGTGCGTGCGTGCGCCGTGCGCGCGTGTGCAAGTACACGTTAGTGCGTGCGTGCGCGCGTGTGCATTGTGCACGTAGGCGTGCGTGCGTGCATGCGTGCGTGCGTGCATTGCGTGTGCACTGTACACGTGCGTGCGTGCGTGCGATGGAGTGTGTGCGTCGTGTGCAATTACGCGTGCATGCGCGCTCGTCGTGCGTGGTGTAGCGTTACATCGTACTAGTGGCTGCCGCCTATCGTGGCAGGTTAAGCTAACTCGAGTTTTAAGCGTCTACACGGGCCTTAACTCGAGTTTACCTTGTTAAGGCCCCGTGTGTAGACGCTTAACTCGAGTTAAGGTTCGTCGTGTAGACGTAGCTATAGAGATCGGTGGTTCCGCCTGACTGTATCGACCGCCAGCTGCGGGTCGATATCGTTGCCTTGGCTGCCATCTGCGCTGTTGGTTGGCCAACAGCAGCCGCCGCCCTGCCTCTGTGTTATTCCCTCTCTGCGGCGCACACGTACAAACGCGCCCGTAGCAGGCAGAGGAGGCTAACTGTATAAATATAACTCGCTGTAGAATCGCGCGGCGAACACCAATCAATACCTCGGCGTGGTGGCCAAGCTAAAGTGCGAGGTAAGGAGCGGTTTCGCTGTCGCTCGGGCGTGAATGTTGATCCACAACGCAGAGGCAGGATGTGTGGTGGCGATTTTCATTTCGATCTTCGGGTTGTCTTTGTTCTGGCGGCGTATAGGCCCTCAGCGCAGCCCAGATGCCATTGCGCGTGCCGGGATTAGAA